AAAAAAGAAAAGAAAAAAACACTCAAATAAGAAATTGTCACTTCAGCAATTATCGACTACATCTAAGAGCCTATATCAAACAATAACATTCAATGGTTTATCATTAAGAAAAGTAAATCTCCGTTGAATTACTTTTTCATTTTTTTATGATAAATCCACATATATTCTTGATCATATATGTTGTAATAAGAGTAACATGTTGAAAGAGTAATTATATTGTGGGAATCCTTGGATAAAAAGATGTGTTTAATGTTATAAATGTAATGTTCAAATTCAATGTGAGGTAAGCTTAATCGTGTGCGATTTTGAGATGTGAGAATGAAACTCAAAGTTTCATTACAGTTATTAATTTTGCCTTAATGAAGACATTAATGGAACACCTCTTCATTGAATGGAATATAGTTCATGAGCACTATAAATAGTGCATGTATGCTTAGAGGAAGAACACACCAAGTGAAAGAAGAAAAGAAAAGGAACACTTTATATAGTCCATTTCATCCTCTACAAGTCTAAGAAAAATTAAAGAGTTCTTGGCGACTGAGCTTCTGATCGAGGTGAGTGTGTTAGATAGTGCAGTCTTTACACTTTGAGCCATCTTATCCTGGGAGAAAAGGCGCAGTACTCGTTGCACAGTATCGGGACGTCTGTTTCTTCAAGGAAAATAGATTTTCTGTGATTCGGCTATATGTGTTCTATGACAATATAGAACCATCAGTTAAGTTTTTATTTTTATAATAAATTTATTTATTTGCTAATAGAAATTTGGTATCATCTCACGTTCCTATGGTTGATGTTTGTGGTTTCTATTTAAAATTTCTTGATACGTATATGTATTGAAACTCGTTCTTAATCCGCCGTTTACAATTAATTTTTCAACAATCTTGAAGAAACAAATTTTGTGATTACAACGAGATTTTTCAAAAGTGTTATACGTATTTGTTTTACTATTTTTTCTTCTCAATTTATTATTATGGCAAGTGGTTTTGGCACCATATCAATTAATGTTATGTTGAATTCAAAAGTCGATTTATCCGGCTTATCAGAAAAATTTTCGGGCCAATTTTTCAAACGTTGGCAACAACGAATAAAAATTTAGCTTACGATGAAAGGATTTTTGACGATTATTCAGGTGGCTAGGTCTGAACCAACTAATAATGATCCCAAAACAACTGAAATTGCTCAGTGGAACGAAAGGGATCAAATTGGTTAATGAGCTATTTTGTCAGCTTTGTCAAATACGTTCTTTGATGTTTATTGTTCCGATTCGTACACTGCAAAGACGTTGTGGGATGAGTTGGAAAAGAAATATAATACTTAAGAACAAGGTCTCGAAAAGTATTATATTTCTAAGTTCCTAACATATCAGATGGTTGAAGGAAAGTCTGTATCTTTGCAGACACATGAATTGATCAACTTGGAACATTCCCTCGTTGATGCTGATATGAAACTTCCTGAAAAGTTTTTGGTTATGTCAATTATTGATAAATTCCAAAGTCTTGGGAAAGTTTTAGAATGTCGTTGAAGCATCAAAAAGGGAAATTAATTTTGGATGATTTAATCATATCAATCAACATAGAAGAAGAGCATCGAAAAGAAGTTCATAAGATGACATTTGAACCTAAGGCTAATATGATAATGGGAAAAAAAATGAACCATGCAAATATCAAAATGGCCAATAAAGACAAGGCTAAGGCTAAAAATAAGAAACCCAAAGCAAACAAACCATGTTGGAACTGTGGACAGGTTGGACATTGTATTAAAGAATGTCCGACAAAGAAAGCTAATGTCAAACCTGGACATGTTGAACAACTTGTGGCGAATATGGTTGTTGGGGAACTTGCAATGCTAGCACTCCAGAGACAACAATTGATGGGTTTTTATTTTTACAACCTCAGCTTTTGAATGTCTATGAACCATTTGATTGGTTAATAGATACTGGAGCAAATGTGCATAATTGTGCTGATAAATTACTTTTTGTGTCTTATCTGCCAATTAATAAAAAATCTGTAGCGATGGAAAACTCAAGTGCGGCCAAGGTGTTTGGGGTAGGATGCGTGGACTTGAAGTTTCCTTCAAGGCGCATTTTATCTCTGCAGAGGGTGCACCATGTCCCAACAATACGGAGAAATTTTATTAGTGGTTCTATGTTAGTCTAAGAAGGTTATGAGCTTTCGTTTAAATTGAATAAAGTTATAATTCACCATTATAATTTATTTATTGGCAAGGGCTATTTGTCTGATGGTCTATTTAAAACTCATGTTGATTATGCTGGTTCTGGTAATAAATTTGATTTTGCAGATTCTGTTGTTATGAATGTTACAGAAAGTTCTTCTTTATGGCATAAATGTTTGAGTCATTTAAATTATGATTCTATTAAGAGAGTGATGAATCTTAATTTAATTCCAAAACATGATGTTGAATGTAATCAAAAATTTCAAGTATGTGTTGAAGTAAAACAAGTAAGAAAGCCTTATCACTCGATAGAAAGAACTTCGAAATTACTTGATTTAGTACACACTGATATTTATGAGTTCAATGATATTGTGACTAAAGACCTTAAAAGATACATTATCACTTTTATAGATGATTACAGTAAGTATTGTTATGTTTATCTAATTAAACATAAAGATGAAGCACTTGAGAAGTTTATTATTTTTAAAAATGAAGCTGGAACACAAACCGGTAAGAAACTTAAAAGGTTAAGATCTGACAGAGGTGGAGAATATGAATCTAACACCTTTGGTGAATATTGTCGAAATTTTGGCATAATTCACGAAGAAACTCCCCCATATTCTCCACAGTCTAATGGGGTTGCAGAGGGAAAAAACAAAACATTTACAGATATGATCAATAGTTTTTTGTTGAATTCTGGATTGCCTAAGTACATGTGGGGAGAGGATTTGATTACGGTGTGCCATATTCTGAATAGAGTCCCTCTGAAACACAATGAAATAACTCCATTTGAATCATGGAAAGGGAGGGAACCTAGCTTAAAGTACTTTCGTGTATGGGACTGTCTTGTAAAAGTTCTAGTAACTGAGTACAAAAGGAAAAAGCTAGGACCTAAAACTATTGATACAGTCTTTTTAGGCTATGTGAAAACTAGCTTTGCGCTTAGATTTTTTATTGTTAATCAGAAATTGCTGGCATAGATATAAACACAATTGTTGAACTCCGTGATGCTACATTCTTTGAGGATGTTTTTCCTATGAAAAACAGGAATATCCCAAAGGATGTCCTGGATGCGGCCCTTACATCATCATCTATTACTGAACATGTGGAAAAGATGACAAATGTGGGGGATAATCTAAGTAGTTCGGATTCTTTACAAACAGAATTGGATGGACCCAGAGAGAGCAAACGAGCTAGGATGGTTAAGGATTTTGGAAGTGATTCTATCACTTACAATATCGAGACGAGCCAATAACTTTCAAAGATGCTATGACTTCACCAGAAGCTAAGCATTGGAAAATAACTATCAAAAGTAAGATTGACTCTATTGTCAATAATGGGACATGAGAGTTAGTTGAACTACCTCCGGGGTGCAATACAATTGGTTGTAAATAGATTTTCAAAAAGAAACATAATTTTGATGGAACCATTGATAAGTTTAAAGCCAGATTGGTTGCCAAAGGTTTTAAACAGAAAGAGGGAATAGATTACTTTGATACCCATTCACCCGTTGCTCGTTTAACTACTATACGTGTGCTCATAGCCTTGGCGTCTGTGTATAATCTGTATATTCATCAGATGGATGTAAAAACTACCTTTTTACATGGATATGTTGATGAAGAAATATATATGGATCAAGCTTGAGGGATTTATAGCTCCCGGTAGCGAGCATAAAGTTTGCAAGCTTGTTAAATCTCTTTATGGGTTGAAACAAGCACCTAAACAATGTCATGAAAAGTTTGATAAAACTATTTATCATTCGGCTTTGTGATAAATGATAATGATAAGTGCATATACTTTAAGGTGAAAGGTGATAATTGTATAATCTTATGTCTGTACGTAGATGATATTCTGTTAATAGGATCCGCTTATGAAATAATTGAAGAGACTAAATCATTTCTAAAGAGTAAATTTGAAATGAATGATATGGGAGAGACAAATGTAATTCTTGGTCTTAAGTTGATTCGTTCAGCTAAAGGTATAACCATTTCTCAATCTCATTATGTTGAGAAAATAATTGAGAAATATGGTTATAATGATTGTAGAATTGATAAAACTCCATATGATCCATCTGTGGCTCTTTTCAAAAATAAAAGTGGTGTTTCTGTGGCTCAATTGAGATATTCTCAAATTACTGGAAGCTTGCAATATTTAGCTAATGGTACGAGACCAGATATTTCGTTTTCTGTGTCAAAGTTAGCTAGATATCAAGTTGTCCTAATAGAACTCACTAGGAAGCCTTGGATAGGGTACTTCGGTATCTTAAAGGAACAATATCACTGGCTATACACTATAGCAAGTTCCCTGGTGTACTTGA